TAGCTTGGGGGAGGGACCTGGTTGGGGAGGGATATTCTCTCTCTCTCCCTCTCTTGGACTTGAACTTTGTTGTGCAGAAGAAAAATGAGGGTGCCTTTAAGCAAACAGAAAGAATTGAGAGGGTGGAGCTGTGATGTGCACCAAAGTACAAAAACTACTGGCAGAGAGCTATTATAATGGTTTAATAGAACTTCCATACTAAGGGGCAGTCTATCGGCCTGTTGGATAAAAAGGAAAGATCTGATCCTTTGGCTTTCTTAAGAACCTGATGCCTCAATATTGGAACTAGTCTAAAAGAGAGTCATGTGATTTGAGGCCTAGGATCATTAAGCTCTGAAGGTTGAAACTTTTCCATCAATACATTTTCTTTCTGGCCTGAATTGCTGTATGAGAAATGATGTCTGAAGTTCAAAAGCTCAGGAGAGAATTTTTGTGCTCTCTTTCTCTGTCCTTAAACTCAGACTAACTAACAGTAGTTTGGCATGCACAAAAAGGTATCTGCACCTAAGCAGAAAAAAAAAGAGGGAACTCAGCTGAATTAGTGAGTTTTGCTTAGTCAGAGAGCTTAATGGAGCTTGTATATAAAAAGGCAGGCTACATACAAAGAGCTCTAGCTTCTGTACCAAAAGATGAGAAAGAGGCAGCTTGAGAGATTTGCTAGTAGGTTCCTAGAGATATTTGGCTGCCAACTGTGTACGCAGAAAGGTTGGAGCAGGTCACCTTTGGTAGATCCCAAAGGAGGCCTTCACCTCTGTGGGAATTCTATTGGCGGTATGACTTCATCCATCCAGAGGTGAAAAGTCAAAGGTCACCAACTGCCACTGTTCACTGAGCAGAGTGAAAATGTTTTCGCAGATGTAAGTCGGTCTTCAGAAGGGATGCTCTAAAGAGCTTCTCAATGGTTTTTCTTGTTTGGGGGGATGGAAGGTTTCTCAATGATGCTTTGCCCTGGAATGGGGAAACTGAGAGGGGTAAGGTAGGGAAGGGATGCCTTTAGGACTCGGCTCCTTCACAGAGATTTACACAGAAGGAGCTTCTCTCTTTGCCCAAATGCTCTCCCTGTCCTGGACATAGAGCAGGCAGAGCAGGTAAATTCTGGAAAAGAGGATTTACTCCATTCCATTCCTTTTCCTAGGTTCCTAAGATTTTGAGAGCGATGTAGGAAAGTCTTCCAGTGCTGTTTGGGGACAAAGGAATGCCAGGCCAGCAAGTCCTTCAAACTCCACATTGGAGGATCCAAGGAAGACAAAAGTTATTATTGAAATTGAACTCCACAAAGTGGAGCAGCATGGTGAGTACATGGTGGGGATGGAGAGGGAAAGAGAAGGAGCTCCTTTAGAAGTGGACTCTTCTATGTAGTGTAAGATTCCAGCAGTTTCCCCAAGCCACTGAAATGCCAAAGAGATTGAGACTCAAGACCAGGCTTGCAAAAATATCAGCTTTTATTAATGGCCATAGCAAAAGCTAGGTGGCAAAACTATATCCAAAACATACAAATTCATGTAAGGAATAGCTACCCGCTGCAAGAGTGGCTCAGAATATTATATACATTTTAGGCAGATAGCAACAAAGTTTACCCAATCAGAGACAAAGAATCGTTATCAACGTGATCTTTAAAGTGTTCTTTTGTTCAAGTTCCTGTCTGTCTACCTTATCTATGGAGTATTCCTATAGCCTTGTTGTAGGGCAGTGATGGCAAACCTATGGCAGGCGTGCCAGGTGGCACGTGGAGCCATTTGTCAGGGCACGCGAGGCACTCCTTTGTCAGCTGGCCAGTGCACATGCGCGCGCTGGCCAGCTGAGTTCATCCTTTTTTAAAGCCATTTTTCGCCCTCCTCAGGCTCCAGAGGCTTTATAGGAGATTGNCTCTAGACAGAGAGTCAGAAACAGCTTGGGTCATCATGGCTACCATGGAGAAACAGACCTGACCTAGGTTATTGAAAGCCTGACACATATGAGGAGTCATACACCGGATATGATTTTTGTCTAGGTGCAATGATAACATGATCTGGAGCTGGGCAATGATGTTTTACCCCCTTTTCATTCCCTGCTATTCCCTTGCATAGAGAAAAACTTGTTGGATCAGTACCTGTTGTGTCATAGGGATCTGATGGGAACTTGGACATGTCTGAAGTTCTGAGGCAAAGTTCCACTGAGGTCTTAGGTGTTGCCTGACATGGGTGGAGGATGGCAACCTTGGATCAGATTGTACCTGTGCAAAGTATTTTGGCTTCTGAGTGCCATGACACAAGATGGGGTTATTTGCAGGACTGCTTTTTCTCAGTTGTTTGTTCCCATCACCCAAAGTGGGTAGGCTTAAGGTACCATTTCTAAAGGAGTACCATCTAATGAGATCTAACAGAATGCCCTCTTTGTTGCTGCATATGCCCTTTGGATTAAGCTCCTTTCCCCCAAATATAGGGCCAGAATGGAAAATGAGCGTAGTTTGTGATATTAATGTATATTATTGTCACCAGCCTTGATTCTGTGTTGTTTATATATTGTTTTTACTTTCCTATATTGATTTTTTTTCAATCTTGACTTTTTAATATTTATTATTGTATAAATGAGTACTAGATTATAAATAATAGAAGCTGTATATTTTCAACAAAGTTTATTCACGTCATCCCTAAGGGGAAGCGTGATTATTCTCTGCCATGGGTCTAAATTTCAGGCTGCCAAGGCAGAAAAAATTAATATATACCATGCATTTTTTTTGTGTTTCTGCTTTAATAGAAATGGTTCTGCTCCATGTGAAGCATGGAGATGAGAGCCAATTTCTCCTGGAAACAACAGGTAAGGTTTCCATTGAAGACTTAACACAAGAAGTGACCAGAATCTATAATGGAAGACTCAAAGTTCAACGTCTTTGCACAGGTATTAAATATGTCAATTTATTATTTTGTCCTTTTACCTAAATGTCTTAGGTAAAAATATAACAAATAAATAATTTAATAGTAATGTATTATATTACATATAATTATACTATAAATATAATAAATGTAGTAAATAATAATTGTAATAATAATTTATTAAATGCATTTATTTATTTGCAACTCTGGGCCGTTCTGAATCCTCTTTTTGCTTACTCTTTATAGCCAATATATTAAGTTCATGTCACAGGTGAATTGTCTGAATATTGGAAACTACTCAACCAATTCTGCTGGTTGTACATTTTTCTAAAGTTTCTGTACATGGATTACTGTTGTAATACATTTTGTGCTTTATTTCAGTCTGTTATTAACTGTTGTCTCTTTTCCTAAATATACCTTTCAGCAATATTTACAATATATCCAAATATGAAAGAATTATAATCTTTTTTAAGTATGACTGTGTCCTCTGAGAAATTTCTAATATTCTAACAACATTAAATAAATTGCAGAATTTTTTATATTGCTGCAGTGGTACTTTATTTTAACAATTTCTCAAAAATAGATGGTTAAAGGACATTTTATTTCTCCGTGTCTCACTCTTTGTTCTTTTCAAAGAAATGGAATTGCTGGCAGAACACGGTATTTTCTTACCTCCTAACATGCAAGGCCTGACAGATGAACAAATTGAAGAGCTGAAACTGACAGATGAATGGGCAAAAAAATGTATTCCAAGTGGTGGAAGCACATTTAAAAAAGATGACATTGGACGAAGAAATGGTCATGGTAAAAATGTGTGTGTGTGTGTGTGTGTTTTATATATATATAATATATATATA